CTCCCTAACGGAATCGAGTCAAGCCGACGTCCATTAGCTGCACCCACCGATCAACATCGATGCTAATCGATGAAGCTCGATCGCGAGCTCGTCGACGATTTCAACTCGTTACCGATTCTCTACCCTATAATTATTATTACTTACCCGCTGATACGCAGACGAGGAGTAGCAGCAGGACGTGGCGAGATTTCGGGCCGGCCATGGCAGCTGACGCGTCGTTGGCCGTTCTGCGGCCTCTGGATCGCTCGGTGACCCGGAAGCGCGCGATCGACGCCTCGAAAAGCACCAAACTCCACTTAAAAATGCACTCACTGCACAGGCACCGTTGAGCCTCGATAGGCTGCTATCTTCTCTCAAATTCTTCGATTAAAAACTCGATCAATTATATTCAACGAAGAGCGTTGGCCACTGTCAGTAAGGGCGAATGGCGAAAGGGCGGCCGAACGCCGAGAAAACGACACGAGAGTCGAGTTTGGAGCTGTGCGGTGCCGATGCAGGACTAGCCAAAGGACGACGCCATCTTGCAAGGCCAAGGTTACGTCTGCTTGGAGCCGTCGAAGCTCTGGTCATGGAGGCTTCGCATCCTCGTCGAGGACTCGCGAGGATCGATCGGCTGCCGCAGGGCCACCTCACCGATTGCCGAGCACGTCACGCAGCGATTCGTCTTCTTGTTCTCCTGTGTGTGTGTGTATGTGTGTGCGTTGTTTGCCTCTTTCTCCGTTGCTCGTATGTCGCTGGGAGCGCGTGAGCGATCGGGCCTGCTGACCCACTTTTCTAACGACGCGTTCGTCTATTTGTGTACAACAGCGCCGCTTACTATCCCACGAGTCGCCTCCAGCTAATAAAACACACACCGACTAACGCACGACACAGCTCAAACTCATTTACTCGCACTATGAACAATTTGCACTGAATTTCGGTACTTGCAGTATTATCGTATAGATCGCGTCGTTCGAGCCGGGTCAACGAACTGATAATTTCTGGCGAAACGTCACTCGGCTCCGTTCCGCTGCACAACGACAACAACGTGTCCGGACGGATTTGCGATATTTGCGCGGCGTTTATCGGGGCCCTCGTGCAGCTGGCCCTTTTTGCCGACTGCACGGTCGCTTTTTTTGACAGAAATAAGGTTCGTTTGTACGCGAGGGGAAGCCAAGGCGGCCGCTAGGTTGGCCGTTGGTCGGTCGTTCACTTGGGACTGAAGCAGCGAGCCAGGTGAGAGAGCACGAGCTCGCGGCCAGACAGAGCGGGGCCCCCGCCGCCGCTGCTTTCTCGTCCTCCTCTTTCTTTCGCCCTCTCTCCGCCGGTCGCGAGCTCGCTTGCCGTAGCTCTCGCTTCTTTGCTTTCTGCATAATATTCTTTCATCTCTCCTCTCTCTCTCTCTCTCTGCGCTTAGCGACGCTTGCTGTCTTCTTGACTTTTACCGTGCGCTAACTTGCAGCTTATTTCCACTTCCCTTGAGCGACTATACCCAGAGCCCTGCCAACTCTTTTTCTCTCTCTCTCTTTCTCTCTTCTTCTGTCTCTCTGTGTACTTACCTTACAGAGAAAACCCCTATATACTGTATATCAGCTACTTACACACATCTAACAGGCCATTCGCTCGCTTTTATACCTTTTCTTTGAGTTTCTTTCTTTTTTACAACGCTCGCATACCTACTCCTCCTCCTCCTCTCCTCTTTAGCTACCTTCGCGACGTAACTCCACCTATTTGCAACTTTTTCACTTTGTACCTTAAACACCTATCATTAGCATTTTCACTAAGCTATTCCACACTATTCTATTATCATATATTTACATAAGATAATTGTTATCTTTATACCTAATTCAAACAGGTAAACCTCACATATTTAAACTATTATTCAATTCATTCAGCACATGTACTTAATATTTATTTCATTTTGAATTGATGCAAATATTCATGCGCTTAAGATTAATCCTTAAAACTAATAGTTATTTGCGAAATGAAAAAAATGAAATTTAATTTAGACTGTATAATACTGTCAATAAAAATTTAATAACAGCATTATTTTTAATAAAATAAATATCATTCGTACCTACATCTTGAGTGAAATATAACTTTTACAATATTTATTTCGAGTAAATTTTGTTAATTTTTAAATAATAATATTCGTGTAACAAAAAAGTTTTTTTATAATTTCAGTTATTGCAAGAAATTATCACTTGATTCTAACAAAGGATATTATGAAAAAAAAACCTTCGTGATCATCAGTCACACATTTCTTCATTATCGATCGTCTTCATGGCAGAAATTTTTAGGTATTACCTCAACTCGTACGTGAGTTTGTACACAAGAGCCCATTAATTTCCGAAATTGGATTATAAATTTAATGTATGATAGGAGCATAATTTGCCTCACAGATGTAATTAAAATTGACGAGTAAAGGTGGTGATAATGTGATTGGTTCTCCAAGTACCGGTGGATTTGCAAATTAGTCAATATCATTGGGAATTTTTCATGCCAAGATAATAGGCTATGATTCGTTAAAAAATTCTCTTGACGTAAAAAATGAGATTGATTACGAGCAATCATTATTTGTAAAATGTACAATGTTAAATGTAATTGTCCCGTAGCAAAGTGGCGGCCAGGACACGCTCACAGAATAAAACTCAATGGCCGAGACTATGCGTAAATTCGAGGATGTAGCATATCTCATGCGGTTGTATCCATGCATGCGAATGAGAAAACAAAAAGTTGGGAATCGTCATAAATCTTTGAAAATAGTAGGCCTCGTTGGCTTGGGCTAGAACAGCGTTACCTTAGCCACACGCTTGATGGTGGTGGAGGCGGCGGCGGCGGCGGCGGCAGGCAAAGGTGAACAAACTGGCCGATCGCGGGAGATGGTACTTGTGTCTTGGTCGCTCCGGTTCGAAGGTCGCATACTTTGAGGAAGAGAGAGCAAGAGCTTACACGAGTTCCCAGAGAGGCGCCTCTTTTATTTTTATTCCTCGCTCATCACGGCTCCTAGCGAATCCTAAGTATACACTTACTTATTATGAAAAGGCCGCCTTTTTCTCTCTGATGCTGACAATGGGCCCGCGCCGCGCGTGCTATAATCCCTGCGCCGAGCCCTGTCTCTCCCAAAAATGGCCGCAGAACCAGTTCACAGCTTCCAGCATCTATAATTTCAGCTTCCTCAGCGACAGCAGCCGCATCTTCCTCTGTATTTTTCAATATTTGCAATCGTTTCCAAGCCCAATCAATTATTGCTTACTATTTGCGATGTATATAATTGCCCTTGGCTTATGTACATGTTACTGATCAAGGTAAGCTTCCGCTAAATTTAAACAAACTTTTAGATATGAAATTCAAGTTTTTTCGATTGACGTGTTATGAAAATTCCAGATTAAAGAAATTTGGCTGATGTTAAACTATCTGAAAAGTTTTTCGTATCTAACGCATTATTTGACTAGAGATATCTTTTGAGCTGAAAAGAAAAAAAATGAAGTAAATATAGAAGTCCAATCAGATAGTATCAAACAAACTAGGCATATCGTCTTGTCTTTCACAATTTGAAGCACGAACTCGAGTAAATACTGTAATTGTAGCGTTTATCTAGTGACATTTCGGTTTCTTGGCTGGATTCTTTTTAGTGGGAAATGTTAGACAAAACTAGTCTATATTCATTCATGCGCCGAGACTTTTATCAGTTTTTCATATTGTTTATACATTAATTAAATCAATTTTGAAAAATAGTAAAAAATGATAGATCCGTTGGCTGTTATAGTGGCGAAAAATGTAGCCGGAAGCTCCAATCAGTATTGAGTTATCACATAAGGAAAACGATCGATGTCGATCAGAGGGGTGTATAAATTAGACTGAGCAAAGAAAGTCATTGACCTTTGAGAAGATTTAAAAATGTGAAAAAGAGATTCTCCTATCGGCCCAGGTAAAGATTCTGGAAGCGTGAAAAATAAATAGTTAAAAACTGTAGGATAAGGCTGTTTTGAATAAAAAGAGTTTTGCTGCGTTAAAGAGGCTCTGCTCGGCAAAACGGCACAGCAGCGATGCACGTTTTATTACCCAGCTGTAATGTGTGTGAATTCACGTAGTGATATTCGTAGTACGCAGAGCTGAATCGAAGGCGAGCGTGGAAAGGCGCAAGTTCAAAAAGTACGTGCTCAATTCTGCACCGGTGGGGAAATGTAAATACAGCTTAGTAGGGGTCATCCTGTCCTGAAAGTACGCGGATATAATGACAGCGGTACATTCGTCAGGATAGGTATAGCCCCTCGTTTGCTGCATTTATGTTTTGAGCTGCTGCTGTAAAATCATAGCGTAGACGGTATAGTACAGCGCGTGTGCGTGTTTGGCTCGTTAGACGTCGAAAATACTGGTTATATAAGGATGGAAGTAGTGAACTTCCGGCGAGTCGCGATACACGACTCTCGAGTCCCGGATTTGATTCATGCTCGAGCTCGCGTGCGCGCATCCGCGTGTCCCCGACTCGAGACGATTCCAACATGAGACTGCGTCACTTGCATAAAACAAATAGGTATTAAAGTCGAAATTCTCGGCATCGCTCGGCTATTGCTCTCCTTGCGTAAAGAGACAAATGTCTCTCTTAGTGGCAAGCAAAGGGCAATACAGCGTGTGCTTTCGTCCCAACGCCAGTATGCTACACGCACGTAAGAGCGAGCCCAAGTGCTGCGGAATAAAGGCAGAGACTGCAGACGCGGAGACTCGAGTCACGGCTTGCGGCGGGACGCGCGGGGCCGTGCAGGCCCAGCTATATAGGCTCGCTCGTATGTTACATACAGAGGCTCTAAAAAAGCGGCGGCGCAAGCGAGCAGCAACCGGCGACGCACGCCAAGCGTCGTCTCTGTCTCGCTCTCTTCTCGGGCCGTTCGCCGTACGTACACAGCACAGTCGAGTAAGAGACGAAGAGAGACGAAGAGAGACGAAGCGAGAGAGAGAGAAACAGAGTCGGCTCGCACCGCGCCAGTGTCAGCACGTCGTCGTCAGTAGGCTAGTGCCGGCTCAGCGTAGTCGTTGGGCTTTGTCGCGCATCGCGAGCTACATTCCCAACTCCCAAGTTGTAATAAGCGTGCTGCTGCTGCTGCACGAGTGTGCGGACGAAGCCAGTGCAGTTGGTGTGTGCCCTTGTCGAGCAGTGCGGCCGCGAGTTCGCCAGCCCCCGGGATTACAGCGATTCGATTCGTATACAAGCTCGTTCGGTGCAATCGGTGCGTGCGTGCAATGCTGCGTCAGCAGCCAAGCTCTACCGGTGAAACTGCGCGACAGAGCAGATTGTCACTTGGAGGCCGTCGTTCGGCGCTCGCCGGGTATGTACACAACTCATTTTGCACATGTCTAAATTTCTTCCTACGAGCCTCGATGCTTCGGCAACCAAGTCAGCTCTGAGATCTTTGTAGCTCGCGTGTCTGTATAGCTCGTGCGTAGCAAGCAACCATCGACGCTATCGCTTTCTATGTATGCTCCGCCTCGTCGTCGTCGTGCTCGTATACAGTTGGCCTTTTAAAGGGAAACGATCGGCTGCGCGTATCACGGTGACTGCGATGCTTCCTGTCACACCGATGCTGACTGCGCCGACGCCTCGTACAGATCCTCTAATGCCGCACGACCACCTACGACTGACTCTTGAACTTGAACCGTCTACGTTCGACCTTAGCTGGAACAATTTTCTCGATTACGTGATCGTCGAAGCCGAGCTTGGGACTGTCACTCGTATAATCGCGTACGAAAGCAGCAGTCACTACTTCGGAATTGTAGCGAGCCGCGATGTGCGTTGCATTTCCGTACACGTATGAGCAGGTTGGCTGCTACCAGTTGACGCGCGACTCCCTTCGAGAACGGCGAATCTCGACAGTCTAGAACAACGTTTTTTCGCTACTAGAATACGTATAGGTATGTACACCTGGAGAACGTAATGTACGCATTTTTACGCAGTCATATTAGGTACAATCGTAGACTTTGAGAACAAGATAGACAACGCAAACGGACGAGCTGCTGCTGCGATCCACGATGTGAAATGTAAAAAAGTAATGAAACGCGAGAGATGCGAGTGTAGGCACGTACGTGCGAGACCGGAAAAATGATGCCGCTACACAGTCCCGCAGCGCAGCGCAAATATATGTGTATACACTTGTAGTACACACAATACACATCCACACGGGGACGCATACACGCACGCACACACCTAAACACACGAACGGAGTGTGTGTGTGTGTGTGCGCGAGAGAAAGAGACAAGCTCGCACACGAGCAGCAGTTGAGCTGTTGCTCTCTCGAACAGCAGCTGTTCTTATAAATATAGGCATACGTATTTTGGCTCGTATCGTGGTATAGCTGGTCTCGAGGCTCTACTCGAGGCCTCCCAAAGGACAGACAAATTCTAAGGCGCCGCCACCATGCCTCTAGCTCTCTTGGCTGCATCTATTGCATCCAAGCAGCTTCTTCCTTTCTGCGCGTGTTTAGCGGATATAGTATTACCTCTCTCTCTCTCTCTCTTTCTCTTCTCTACGCTCTCATTCTCTGTGCTGCGACTGGTTAGTTGTATATATGCGTACAATACACACACACACACACCTCAAAGGCTCAAAGCTTCGCTTACAGGCGGGCACCCTCGTCGTTTTGAAAATTCCTCGACTCTTTTTTGCATGCATTCTCGTGCGTATACGTCTGTAGAGGCGCAGAGCAACACACATGCAACAACCGAGTCCGCCAGCGAGTTATATCGCCTACGGGTATATAATGTAAGCGCAGGTATGCAGTCACAAGGAGCTGGCTCCGCAATAGCAGCTCCCCATTGATAAATGCGCTCGCCAACAGCCGAGCACGTTTCTCGGAAATGCGATATTTTGGCCCGTACGGATCGTTGTCACGCCTATGGCCCATTCGCAGCTCTCTCCGCCACTCTATTAATTCTCCGTTTCCAGCGTACCTGTATATACGCGACGAGACGCCGGCATAGAGACTCGAATCCCGACCGGATGCACTGGTCTGTAATTTTCTAGAGCCCGGCCAGTCCCAGGACTCGTGTCAATCTTTGTTTATATTTGGCCCTTTACCAATTCTACTGCGGCAACGAGTGGGCTCGATTGCTCTTCGACGCATCGCGTCTGGAGCTCGATAGAGTCGCGAGTCACAACATACGTGCCGCAATTGGCGTCAGTAAGCAAATCGATCGGCGCGACGATAGTCTCTATTTACTACTTACTCGCTCTCTGGCCTTCTTATATATCTACTACATGCGAAGCGGAGCAATGTGCGTATGTGCGAGATATTTCATTCATCGTGCGATGCGATAGCTGCTATATAGGCCGCTCTGCCTCTCCGATCTTTGCCTCGAGAAGCCTTTGTGTATACACACACGCGCTGTATACTCTGTATACTCGAAAATTAGTCACTCGCTCGTGTGCTCCAAGGTTTTTTAAATCGACTCTTGCTGCCTCTTCGTACTGACAGAGCCCGGCCTAAATACAAAGCCCTGTCTGCCAAAACATCTGCCGAATAAATGCGACTCGAGAAACCTATTTTAAATAAACTACATTTTTCGGTAATAATCCGATTTACCGCGTAAAGCTTCCTTATACGATTGGACCTCAAAAAAGATGTAATTGTACGAGGAAAAATAATTTCTACCATTAGAGTATTGTAGCGAGTTGAACTTGATACAAAAAAAAACATCTGTCGTTAAAGACATCTATCATCTACTTGAGTTTTTCGTTTGCAAGTGATCTTTTGGAAGAGTAAGCGCTTACTTTTAAAGTTCGTCACGTTTCATCGTCCACTCTAAAGTTGTACTCATCGAAGTGAAACATCTTCATAGCTTGATTTTTTTTTCATTCAACGACCATTTGTTCCTCTGCACGTAAGTGCAGCTGCTCCGCTTTCCAAAAGCCTCCGCGAGCGCCTCGGAATGCCTCGGAATGCCTCGCTGGCAAATTCCAGAGGCTCTTGCGTCGCGAGGCAAGACTAGCTCGGATTTGCGTTATCTGCCACGAGCTGCCAACCGCGAGTTGCGGCAGAGTGTCGTCCAACACACGGACAGCTCTTTAATTCCAATGTCACGCACGTGTGCAGTGTCTCTACCGTGTGTGTGTGTCGTTTATCAATCTGCACTAATTAGCTCTCGTGTGCTCGAGCGATACACGAAATGACTCGATGACTGCCTCTGATCTTTCAACTCGTCCTCGCTCAAACGCATGTATGATGCTTGCGACTACTGCTCCATCGATGAACTTGAATTTGACGTGTCATTGTATCGATGGCTCGTCGCGTGGCTTTGACTATTTTTGGATCAAAACACCTTGTGCTTGGTCGTGACGTCGAGTTGAAAAAATGCGAAATTACGTCGTCGAAGCCGGGATTGAATTTCGGTCGGCCGACGCGAATATAGAAAGAAAATACAACATTGCAACGTGCGTCACGCCTCGTAGCTGTCGTGCGTACGCGAGCGTGTACAGGCACTCGGCCGATCATTGCTGTATAGTATGAGTGCCGCGCGTGGTGCCTGCAGAAAGGGCCCGAGCTGCCCACGGCCACGAAGGTAAGACGCACTCGAATCGACTCGAGCGATGCCTGGCAGCTGCTCCCTCGCGCTGCAGATGTCGAGTTATACTACCCCCCGACTGCAGCCGCGCACTACTTTTACTCGCACGGATACTCGCCAGCGTACGTATTTTTACGCGCGTTCGGCCGCTCGTTGAGTCCTGTCTCGCACATGGCTGCACGCCTCGGCGCACCCGACAACGTCTTACTGTAATCGCCCGATCCTTATTTCTTTGTCCTTTCTCAACAATCGACGAAAATAAAATATTTGCTCGAATCCATTTATGACAAACTACAATGTCGGCTTATTCTTTCTGTTCCGCAGATGAGTCTAGGATGCTGTGATGGCCAGCAAGACGCGATTCCCGACTACGGAGCTCAGCAACGACCTGACCAGTTCGCCGATAGCCAAGAAGAGCCGACTCAGCGAGGACAGTCCCGAGGAGATCTGCAGCAGGAGTAGCGACAACAGCGGCTCCCTCAACAGTCCGTTGCAACTGAGTCTGGTAGCAGCCGAGGTCCTACCTCTGTCCGACGAGTCCTTCAGCGACGCACCGAGCGACTCGGCGGCTTCGTCCTCGCCCACCAAACACAAGCAGCCACAGAGTCAACGTCAACAGCCGCCCCAATCCAACGCCAATAGCCACCCAATTGGCAGCGAGATGGGCCGGGAGGGCGTTCAATTGTCCCTGAGAGGCGATCAGTCGCACTACGATGATCTCCTGCTCATCGGCGACGGGGCCTACGGCACCGTTTACAAGGCCCACGACTCCGTCACGAGGCAGGTCGTGGCTCTCAAGAAGGTCCGGGTGCCCTGCACCGAGGACGGCTTGCCTACTGCAGTTCTCCGCGAGATCGCCACTCTCAAGCAGCTCGACTATCACGAGAGCCCGTACATTGTAAGTTTTCACTGACACCGCTCGACTTTCTCGACTCTTCCTCGTTATTTTAAACACAAATCAACGCCGACGACGCCCCTTCAATTGTTTTCAATTATTTTTCTCGTCTTTCAGGTAAAGCTACTGGACGTCTGCTACGGAAATTATTTACGCAGCTCCAGCGACCGAACCAATTTGATGCTCTGGCTGGTTTTCGAACACGTTGAAAGAGATTTGGCGACTTACTTGAAATACCGTCAACCTCATGAAAAAACACGACAAAAGATTCAGCAGCTCTCCAGAGAAATTCTTCTTGGCGTTGATTTTCTTCATACTCATCGAATCGTGCATCGAGATCTGAAACCCCAAAATCTTCTGGTCACTAGGGATGGTCATATAAAGATTGCTGATTTTGGTCTTGCAAAAACTTACGACTTCGAAATGACTATGACGTCCGTTGTACGTACATGAATTATTTATCTGCTTTTGCCTTTTTTATTCTCATCCTAAACATTCTCAATCATTTAATTTGATTTTCCTCCCTCCAGGTAGTAACTTTATGGTACAGATCACCGGAAGTTCTTTTGGGCTGCGCTTACGCGACCCCTGTCGATATATGGTCTGTCGGTTGCATTATGGCTGAAATTGGTGGCTCTGATAAAGCCCTTTTTCCTGGAGTGAGTGAAGGTGATCAATTGGATCATATTTTTAAGTGAGTATTACACTCTGAAAACGTAACGATTAATATAATCAATCAAAAGCTGTTAAAAAAAATTGAGCACAACAATTTTCAACAAACTAAACATAATTTACAGAATTATTGGCACCCCACGTGAAGAAGAATGGCCAGATAAAATATCGATTGGTTGGAATGCGTTTACGGTGCAACCTCCGACGCCTTTGAATTTAAAAATCCCGATGTTGACAAATGCCGGATTAGACTTGGTACACAATATGCTTCTTTTCAATCCACATAGTCGACCATCAGCAGCCCAGTGTCTTCAACATCCGTATTTCCTCGATGATTATTCCTGTGACAATCTTGACAACAAAAATTTTCTCTAGGTTTTACCCCAAAGAAAATACTGATGAAATGTCGATTTTGAAGTTGAAGTTTGCAATTCAACGCTTATACTCTTGTACATAATTAGTCGGAATGATTATTATTATTATTAAAGTATATATGTAATGTATTATTGTGTTTCTACTTGTAAGTAGCCAAAAATATGACATTTTCATGTCAAATGTATGTAAAGAAGTTGATGCATGTTTTGTGTCTTGTTGATAGTTTAAAATATTCAATTAGGTTGTATCTTTATATTATGATGTAGGAGTGTATTTCGCTGAAGTAAGATTTTTAAAATCTCGAAAAATAATCAAATTAAGTTTAATTTTATTAGAAAATATGTATAAAAACTGTTCAGTGAGTTTGACATTTAAAATGTCGAATTCTCATTCATAGATAAAATCGCGGACATTTTAAACATTAATTTTATATTGTACAAACTTAAAATTTAATCGTACCAGAATACTTAACATAAACATAAAACATTTTGAATTCATTCTGCAATTCATTTCAAACAAGCTATTGTTAAATTTTACAATTTATATTATAACATGTTACAAATTCTAACAGTGTGAATATGTGCCTTATAAGTTTTAAATATTTGTATTAATTATACTTATAGATTGTAAATCCCAACAAGACTGTATAATAATAATCTCAATAAAAGTTTTGTACTTTTGTATAATATTATATACTGAACATGAAATTTTAATTTTTTTATTCATGATGAATTTACCTAAAACTAAAATTTTTATGACTACAATGATTCTCTGAAGATAGTAGTAATGTCTTGACTTGTTATCTTCAAAGTTCTAAGTATAAGAAATTAGAGTCATTGAATTTTCAAATAAGCCGCCGTTAGCAGTTGCATATTTATCTTTGGGGGAGTTTACAGAATTGCAGTGCAGCAATTTTAAATCTCTCGAAAGTTCTACCTTTATCTACTAATACAACAATGTAATCTTTACAATTATCTTCATTTTTTAAAAAGTAAATACTTGATCGTAACGATGAAATTAATCACGAATGCATTTGGATTGTCAAAACACTTGATAAGATATTCGAAGCCTGGGCCTCTGCTAGGAACAATTTCAAACGTGCAAAAAATGGCGACCGAAGTAGAAAAGGCTCAAACTGCTACGCCGGGCGGCGATACAATTTTTGGAAAAATACTGCGCAAAGAGATTCCATGTAAATTTATTTACGAAGATGATCAAGTAAGAATCTCTTTAAAGTTTAATTCATTATTTATTATATGACTGCAGGCAATGTAGTCATTTATTTCAACTGTCTAACCTAAATTTTGCCTGCGTTGATTTGACATTACGAGTAAAATTAATGCGACGAATAATTTTTTTTTCAGTGTGTAGCTTTCCACGATGTCAGTCCACAAGCTCCAGTGCATTTCCTAGTCATTCCTCGAAAACCTATTTCGCAACTATCTCAAGTTGAAGATGAGGATGAACCAATATTGGGACACCTTATGAATGTTGCAAGAAAAGTTGCTAAGGAGCAAGGATTGGATGAAGGATTCCGTTTAGTCATTAATAATGGTAAACATGGAGCACAATCTGTATATCATTTGCACTTACATGTTATTGGGGGAAAACAACTGGGTTGGCCACCTTATGCTAATTGAACTAGTAGGTTGTAATAAAATTGTTGGGGACTCAATGATATTATTTTATATTGAATAGTGTCAATAAAACTTTATTATAAAAATACAATTTACAAATTTTATCATTGAATTTTGAGTTTAATCTCTTAATTTAAAACTTTTTCATATACTTCATACTCAAATTGTATATTTTTCTCTTCTTGAACTCCTTGTGGAACATCATCATCTCTGTAAATTTAATTCAATAGTAATTAATAATCCATACTGATAAGACAGAAATTCTGTGACTTACTTGACTAAAACTAAACCTTCAGGAAGTTCTGGGAAAAAAGTATCACAGTCAAAAGATTTCTTCACTCTTGTCAAGTACAATCTATGAAAATATGGTGATTCCATAGCAGCCTGGAAATGTAATGACATTTGTTTTAGTTATTAATAGAAATTTCAGGTAGGTCTTAGAAGTTTTCAAAAGTAAATACTTTATAAATTGAGCTTCCTCCAATGACCCACACTTGCTCTACTTTATCTTTTAAAGAACCTTGAGTTATTTCTTGAACAGCTTCAGCTATACTCTTACATGGAATAGCATCTTCTCCAAGATCACTTATAAAAAAAGTGAATGTCAACTTAAATTATTTAGCTCAATAAAAAAATACATTGATTTGATGATAAAATGCATACAGTGTTTGGGATGAAAGTACCATATTTATCCGATTAGCAAGGGGTTTAAATTTCTTAGGAATGCATTCCCATGTTCTTCTGCCCATCAAGACAACATTTTTCTTGTTAATATCTTTTGTTGTAGAAGTCATTTTAGTGAAAAATTCCATTTCTTTTCTGCACACAAATTAATTAATTGATTCAACAATTCTTAAGTATGGTAAAAAAATATATATGAATGACAAAAATTGATGCAATAATTCATTGGCAGCTCATACTTTCATAAGAATTTCATGATGTAACAACAGGTGGGTTTAGAAAAGAATGTTGATTACCTCAATCGCCACGGCAAATCACCATTTATACCGATACCCATATTTTCGCAGGCTGCAGCGATCAACTTGAATTTTACTTGCATTTTGTAAACAATAAGTTAAGTTGTTCGTTTGTACGGAATACAAAATAGCACGATGTGCGATTTTTCAGTTAGAAGGTCGATACAGATTCGATAAGGAAAGCGCGCGCTACTGTCGCAGAATAAATACCCGCGTGCCCGCACGCCTAAATATTTATACATTAGAGCTCGCAATAACTGGAGAACGATTTCTACTTTATCTACTAATACATGAGAAATAATAATAATAAATGTGTAGAACCCGCACACATTTGAATTCGATCAGTCAATGAACTCATTTGTTCGATTTGTTTGCTCTGTAGATTTCAGAAATAATAAAATATGTTGACATTCATAGTTCGCGCGTAGCTTGAGCCGATTGGCATTATTATTTTATTGGTGAAAATAACGATTGTTATAAAATTTTCATCCTTTATGCTTATCTACGATGAATTAACACAAATTTTGATTTAAAATTTTTAAGATAAAATGTTAATTCTATTGCAATAATTGTCGTTCAATTTTTGCATGTTTTTTAAGATAAATTTAAATTTGCGATAAAAAAAATACATAATAAGCTTGTACATTGCAGGATCGGTGAATTTTTTTTACAATTAATAAACTGGGACTAATTCACGACTACATCATTGAACAACGCGGAAGCACTATGTTGATAAAATTAACGGCAAACATCCGAATCCGAATAATTGAAATTTGACATCGTAGCGCGCGTGGCGAAATTGCCCATTGTATACATCAACACTCAGTAGCTTAAAACAATTGAAACGTCAAACGATGTATATAATGTGCTGCAGTCAGTTTTATATACCAGGTTGGCAAACGTTACGCTGCAGCAGTCGCATGTATGTACAATTATCATATATATCCACGTATTTATATACACACACAAGGTATTAGTTTACAAATAAAACTTCAAAGTCCGTAAGAGCCAAGGTTATCGCGTACATGAAAAAGTCCCGTCACGTGCGCGAATAAAATCATAAAGCAGCAACCGGTTGCAGCGGTATACAAACACCTTTGCTGCGCGATATACATTATACACCTATACGAGTACGTATGTACATAGACGTCATTGCATCAACGAATCTTGAGAGTCATTTGCAAATAACAATTAATAACGAGCCGAGATAGTAGCAATGAGTACAGACGTCAAAGTCATCGACGGAGGTTTTTCGACGCAATTAGCGGTGCACGTCGGTGACACGATAGACGGTGATCCACTATGGACCAGCAAATTTCTGTGCACCAATCCAGATGCTGTTTACTCGACGCATTTGGATTTTTTGAAAGCCGGAGCAAATATCATCGAGACCTGCACTTATCAAGCTTCCATCCCCGGTTTCGTCGATCATCTCAAACTTTCCCAACAGGATAGTGCTGATCTCATTAAAAAAGCTGTTGTTTTAGCAAAAAAAGCTGTGTCTGACTATAAGAAAACAATCAATTTAGATAGCGTTGTGTCTAACAAAGAGCCTCTCGTTGCTGGTTCTGTTGGACCTTATGCAGCCTATTTGCATGATTGTTCCGAATATACTGGAGGGTCTTATGCAAAAAATGAAAACATGGATTCTATAGTTGAATGGCACAAACCAAGATTAGAAATTCTCATAAGCAGTGGTGTTGATCTCTTAGCTATTGAAACTATTCCTTGTGCTAGAGAGGCTCAAGCTTTGGTAGAATATTTAAAGCAATATCCAGGTAAATAATGGATGTTCTTCGTTACTATTTCATAGAATATTGTACTATATCTTGCTTTACATTTTAGACACTAGATACTGGTTATCGTTTTCATGTAAAGATGATGGTAAAAGCATTGCGGATGGAAGTAATTTTCAAGAAACTGTATTGAGTTGTTATAAATCTGCTCTTCCGGGGCAGTTAATAGCATGTGGTGTAAATTGTTTAGCTCCTACTTCAGTTTCACCACTTTTGAAAAGCATCAGTAAAGAAAATACTGGCTTTTTTATTCCTATGATTGCATATCCAAACAGTGGAGAAATATATTCATCTGCAACTTATAGCTGGAGTATGGATAAAGATTTTCATGGCCCTGAAGAATTTGTCAAGGAATGGATTGAGTTAGGTGTAAGATACATAGGTGGATGTTGCAGAACTGGAGCACAATCTATTGAAAGGATATCTGCACTGGTACAGAACTGGAAAAAGGGTCTGCAATCAATGGTTTAGATTTATTGATATTTTATTTAAAAAGATGCCAAAGCAATTTAAAGTATAAAATTATTCAAGGGATTCTTCTATTTTCTCATAAATATTGAAATGAAATTCAAATAACAAAAATAGAATATTTATACTTTTGTAAAAATATCTGATAAAAGCTTTTAAAAATTGGCAGAAAATATCCATTTTAATACTAAATTAGGTATTGTTTCTTACTTAAATTAAATGATTCATTTTTTGCATTTTTCACTGGTTTGTTTTTCAAAAACGTTAACGATATTTCTTTGATAGTTATGTTTATTTTAAATTATGACATGTGTGAGTGTAGCTACTTTAAAAGATAAAAAAAATGGCGATTTAGATTTAGTATAACATTAAAAGGTTTGTTAAATATTGTACCAAAGTACAATTTATCAACTCATCAATGGTGAGTTTAAAATTGGATTATTCATAAGTAATACAAAATCAAGTACAACAAGTATTGAAGTATTTATGTAAGAGGTACATTGAAGAAAAAAACTCTATGCCATAAACCTGTATATAAACAGAAATGAAAAAAATTGTTTTGTAATGAAGAATTTTATGATAAATTATAAAATGTTAAATGTTGGTTATTAAAAATCTTTAAGTGATTATAAGCAAAATGTCATTATATAAATATTCAACAAATGATGCTTCTATAATAAAATAAATAATTTTTCACTAAAAACATGATTTATTCATTTATAAAAAAAAATGATAAAATTGCTCTTAATAAAATTAAATATATACATTTACTTAAATATTTTCAATAGTGATAATTATAAAATATTACGGTTCAAATTTTTAAATTCTTACGCTGATCAGTAAAATAAATGGGAGCTGCTACAAATGAGATAGTTAATTTGATCCATAAAATCTGATAATTCTCTTGGTTAAAATATTCACTGTAATGTACATATAAAATTAATCCAAAACCTCTTGACGAAAAAGTGAAAGCGTGTTTATAGTTAAGAAGCTGGAGGATCGAAATCATGCACAAAAGTAAGAATCGTTGGAAAAATATTGAAATGTTCCAAAACATTTGATAATTTTTAAAAGGCGATCATTGCGCATAAAAATGTGTTATTTATCAAATAAAGTTAGTGCTTAATTGCATCAGTGTTATTCAGGCAACAATTTACGTGCAATCTTATCGGTGTTGGAGTCGCGAGATGCAACTTGCCACATTAGCTTACGAAAAGTCGATCGTTCAGAGGTGCTGTCCTCCAAAGCGTACGAATTGCTTTTATCATCATCCGTTTGCACTCGATTAGATTATTCGCTCGGTCGGATGCGCAATCGCCTGCTGCAGAGCTGCGCTGCCGAACTCGATTCGGCGATCATCGGGTAAAAAGTGGCTTAAAACCAGTTCTCAAACAAGTTGCAAGCGTATTCGCGACCGAAACGGCGGCGGATCTCGCCTTAAAAATGATCGATACCGACGTGAAAGTACTGGCTGCGGGGATAGCCAATACCCTGGAGAAGCACGTGGAGGAGGAGGTGGACAATCACCCGCTGTGGGCCAGTCGATACCTCAGCAGCAAGCCCGAGGCGGTCTACAAGACTCACTTGGACTTCCTGAACGCCGGCTCGGATGTATTTTCGACGTTCACGTATCAGGCCTCGGTCGCGGGCTTCGTGGAGCACCAGAAGACGAGCGAGGCCGAGGCCGTCGGGCTGATCAAGCGATCGGTCGAGCTGGCCAAGAGGGCCATCCGCGACTACAAGCTGGAGAATCGGCACCGGCTGGACCGCTTGACGAATCCCGAACCGTTGGTGGCCGGCTCCGTTGGCTCGTACGCGGCCTACCTGCACGACGGCTCCGAGTACTTGGGGCCCTCGTACGCTCACCAGACGAATCTCGACCACATCCTCGAATGGCACAAGATGCGAATCGACGCGCTCGTCGAGGCCGGCGCCGATTTCCTCGCCATCGAGACCTGCCCCGCTGCCCGCGAGGCCCAACTTTTGCTCGACTACCTCGGAGCCCATCACCCGGGTAAGTTACTCGAGGTAAATAAATACTCTTCGACCCAATCGATGCGATCGATTTATTGAATTGTGTACTTGCAGACGCCAAGGCCTGGGTTGCCTTCTCCTGCAAAAACGACGGCAAATCCATCGTGGATGGTAGCAGCTTCAAGGAAACGGCTCTCCAGCTCTACAGAAAGTCCAAGCCCGGACAGCTGATAGGCCTGGGCGCCAACTGTATACCTCCCAAGGACACGACTCCGCTGCTGAAGAGCCTCAGTCAACGGGAAACTGGAGTTTTCATACCTTTGGTGGCCTATCCCAACAGCGGCGAGACCTTCTGCACCGAGACCGGCAAGTACATCAAGAGCTGCGTACACTACCCCCCGGAAGAGTTCGTTAAGGAGTGGCTCGATCTTGGCGTGCGTTACATTGGAGGCTGCTGCAGAACTACCACCGACGACATCAAACGGGTCTCTGCACAAGTCCAGAATTGGAAAAAGCTCCACTCTCCGACCACTTGAAGTACATGGCTCTTGTACATGCAGTGACATTTATCTCAACTCCGTTTTACATTTGCAGTATATATTTCTAGTGAGTTGTGCAGGTTGATTTTTCAATAACTCGTCATTTATGACGTTCAACTGCACGACAATGGATTTAAATTAGTTTCATACTTTTGTAATTACTTCGTTACTCAAATAAAGTTGGTTTTTAAAAATATCTTTCAACAACGTTACGTACTGCATTTAATAAAATCTGAAAAAACAAAATTGATTTTTATTTACTTCGGCCGGACTTGTTATTTTTCGATTTTCAGGCAAGTTATGAAATGATTATTTCTCTTTGCTTCAACTGTAATAATGTATCTTATTATATTCTTTGATAATGCATTATGATGATGCGTGGAGCATATTAAATTTCAAATTAAAAGTGGCGCGCCTCTTGCGGCCAGAAAGGTCAATGACCTTGAGATTGAGATTTATAAAAGAAAAAACTTGGCTCACGGATCAGTCAGATTCGGAGTTAGGCTGATACGTTACGTTATAAAGTAGAGAAAAAACCTACCAACAATGATACAAGACGTCAAAGTTTTTGGTTTTGGCATTGCTGAACAGTTACAGAAGCATGTTAACTGCGAGGTGGACGGACACCCTTTGTGGGCCAGCAGATTTTTATATAGCGATCCTGATGCCGTGTACAATACTTACATGGATTTTTTGCGAGCCGGCTCGCAAATCATATCTACTATTACGTATCAGGCATCGGTCGAAGGTTTTATGGAAAATTTCAACGTGAGCCGTCAAGAAGCTATTGGTCTCATGAAAAAAGCCGTCGAGTTAGCCCAAAAAGCTGTCAATGATTATAAACAGGAGGTTAAAGGACGGGATGTTCCTAATCCTGAGCCTTTAATAGCTGGTTCCATTGGTTCCTATGCAGCTTTTTTGCATGATGGTTCTGAATATTCTGGCCCTGCTTATGCCAAAGAACAGTCCCTCGATTACATTGTTGCATGGCATGAAGCTAGAATACTAACTCTTCTTGATGCTGGAGTAGATTTTTTGGCTTTTCATTTAATGCCAAGTGTCAAGGAAGTTATAGCTTTAATTGAATATCTAAAATCTATCCCAAGTAATACTTTATTTATTAATTTAGGCTTACTATCAAATTTTTTATACACAATTTATCACTTCATTTTAGGTGCCAAAGCATGGTTTACTTTTTCTTGTAAAACTGATGGCCAAAGTATCGTTGATGGGAATAATTTCAAAGATAGTATTATAAATTGTTACAAAACTGCAAATCACAAGCAGCTCATTGGACTGGGTTTGAATTGTTTACCTCCAAAAATTATGACACCTTTTATCAAGAGTATCAGTCAAAAAGAAATTGGTATATCAATACCACTGGTTGCCTATCCTAACAGTGGTGAAATTTATTCAAAGGAGACTTCAAGCTGGCTTCCAAAAAGTGATGACTATGGTCCTGAAAAATTTGTGGGAGAATGGCTAGATATGGGGGTACGTTTTATTGGAGGCTGTTGCAGAACAACAGATAAAGACATTCATACTTTTACCCAAGAAGTTCACAAATGGAAAAATAATTGTAGTTTATAGAAAAAAGATGTAGCATAATAGTGTAAAATTTTTATCTTAAAACTTGGAATTCAATTTTTTTTCAATAATTCCAATAACTTGAAATTTTTTTTTTAAATATATCAAACAAAGAAGAAAATCTTGTGAAATAGAGTGTATTTTCTAGAAAAATTCCGTTGGAAATGTTTTATTTTTTATCTAAACTTAATATTTATACAGCTAAGTAAAAAATTCAATTATAAAAGTCTTCAACTCATGAGAAATTTAAATTAAGAAATCTGCATCGCACTAGACAAAACATCTGTCGATTGTAGATTTTTAATATTTATACTATTTTGAGTTTCTAATTTAACATTAACACTATTTGTAATACTGTTAGTACTAAGAGGCTGACAGGAACTAATAACTGTTTTTGCAGTTGGATTTTGCATGTCAAGTTGGCTTTGTGCAATATCCTGCAATGCTGCTTGAATCCTTTGAAGCAGAGCTTCACCTTGTGCTACAACTTCTTCAAGTTGATCAGCAGCCTCTTGATTTTCCTGTTCTAATTTAGTAAGACTAGCAACTTGCAACTCTACAGATGACTCTTCATTAGGTAAACTATCAATAAGGGTGTCAATATCTTTTGCACATCTTGTTATTAATGTGGCAAAAAGTGCAGCGTAATCTTCTTGTGATTGATTTTGTTGCTGTGGAGTACCAATTCTATCAAATCCAGGAAATTTGCTTGGAGATGCATATTGTTGCAGAATTCCAACACTATTGCAAAAATAATCAGCTTGCTGAAAAAAATCAAAACTTTAATAAATTTTTCAACTTTTATGTGGAAAATATGTTTAAAATAAATAAATTACTTGATTTATGGTATCTTGTAATTGTGTCAAACGATCGGCCATCTTAACCTCTAAAAATGTAATATTAAGTTGAACTGTTGTTATCAGCACTCAACTATCACTTGGACTTCAAGAACTACTGAAGTATTTAATAATAATTGTTTTTTAACAAGTAAGCAAACTTAGTATTCATTTATTAAAATGAAATGTAAGTAAACGACACACGAACTATAACTTCAAGTTCATCTGTCATTTGGTGTGTTTATGAACTGGAGTTGCAGCCTCACACATGGTAGAACAGCTTACGTGTTTCTGATCTCATAGTATAGGTCTCTATATTATCGATTTCAGATTCAAAAAATAATAAAAAATGTGTCAACGTGATTTTCACAAACATTTGTAATACATTTTCCAGAATTTTGATGCAACATTGAAAACACCATAAATATTATAATTTAAAAAATATTTCTAAGAACGATCAATTTTGTTATTAAACACTATGTTAATCTTGATAGACTTTAAAGGTATATATTTTCAGAAACGTATTGAGTTTCATAACAAATTACATTTATATCTGAAAAATAACATGGTAATTTATCAAAAACCGATAGAATCTAACAATTCCTTTTTCGCCGACATCTCGCGTCAAAAAAAGCGAATCGGATTCGCGGAATTGCAAAGGAGCGCGAAACAGTAGCTAGTCGCGTGGGCCGTACCCCCACTTAGTGCGTTCTTGAAAACACATGTTATTACAAATACTGGGCAGTTTTGTTTGCGGGCATCAACCGGCAACCTCGGGCCATGACACAAACGAGTTTTGAAAAATAAAAAACAAAAAAACTGGCACTGTTCGACTCTCTCTAAAAGACCTATGCGGAAAGTGCCACTTGGTTGCCAAAGTATAATTTAAAAGTGTATTGAAATTGAGTTTATGGCTTTGGCGAATGCGGGTAACGACAATGATGAAAAAATTGTTTGTGAAAAATTAACCTACTTTGAGAAATGTGAATTCATGATCATTTTGCCTACTTAAAATAAATGAATAATTATTTTTAAAATGTCGAATAAGCGTGAACTGCAACCAACCATATCCGGGTTTTTTCGGAAAGATAGTACTAAAAATCAACAAGATATGAAACTGTAAGAATATTTTTTATTCAGTCTTAGATTTAAATTAATCAATGAAAACTTGTATTTTGATTTCACTAGGGCCAGTACAGAAACTTCCAATTTTATTAGTGATAGTGAAAATGAGAGGGACCATGACACTGAAAATGGAAACTCAATCAAATTACCTTCAACTAATGTTTCCAATAGTATTGATTTGACAAATGTTCATGATGTGCATACGCCTGTATTTAAAATGGATTCTATTATATCGATTGTAAAAATTTCATAATTTTTATTATTTTTTAATAACTTTTTGTTTAAAAGAAATCTAAAAATAAACCTTATTGCAGAATAGTTCAATTGATGATGATGATGAGGAAAATTTGAAGACTAGAACAAACAATGCAAATCAAACTGCTGACACAAATGAAAAGATAAATCTTGATGAAATCAATAACCGAAATAAAAGTTTGTTTAAAAAAAGTTTTCAATTTAAACAAAAAATTAAAACAGAAATTCAAAATGTTTCACCAAACAGAAATAATTTTGTTGATATACTTGATGATTCATCAAGTTGTGAGGAAGAAGAATTTGTTCATTCTAACAAAGAAGTTAAAGAAGAAAAAAAAAGTGATATTACTGAAAAGTTAGTCAAACCAGAAAGTACAGTTGATGATTGTTCTTTTGTGTCTCCAATTAAGAAATCAACATCTTTACCTGATGAGCCTAATTGTGTAAATAATGTTCTCAATACAAGTATAGAATCTATGAGCCCTCTCAATATATCTCAGAAAGGTATACTGAGCTCTAGTCAAAGTTCAGATTTAAAACCATTAGGTTTCAATAAAGAATTGGAGAAATGGATAGAAAGTAAAAAAAGTACTCCTGTCATCTGTTCTAGTACGCTGGCGGTAAGTTTAAAATTTTTTACAAGTTTTTGTACAATTAAATTGGAAAAAATTATATTTCTTAGTATATGATTAAAAGATTTTTTTCCAAATGTATATTAATGAATTTTATTAAAATATTCAACAGGTATCACGAGATGAATTGGAATCTGGAAAAAATGATCTCAAAGATATTCAAATTGAAATTTTAGAAAAATTCTTCACAGCATTTGACAGAATACCTAAGGATTTTTTGTCATCACTCCCTGACTTTAATCCTGTAACATCTCAAAAATTAAGGAGTTTGTATCAAAGAGTAAAGGCTAAAATTTTGCAAACAGATAAAAAACTTAAGACTTTGAATGATCAAAAAGAAGAATTTTCTTATTCTAATACTAATAAAGATATTTCGTACACATTTCATAATGATTCTCTGACATATAATGAAACAAACAATCATGTTTCTTCTTATAAGAACAATGTGAAACCTGGTAAAAATTTATCTCAAGATGATACAGAAAATAATATTTTTAATACAAGTAATAATGCTAAAGGTGATATGACGCCTAGCAGTAATCAAGACTCTGGGGTGTCTAACAGCTATTCTCAGCCTCATGAGTTTTCATTAGAACGCAAAATCAGTCAATGTGAACAATCTCCTATGTCTTCTACAAGCCAAAAAAAGGGGAAATTCCAATTGAAAATGCCTGTTAAAGCATCTATTGATGCCTCAGCCTCTAGACAAATAGAAGAAATTTACGAGAAATTTCAACTTCATAAAACTATAGATTCTTCAAATAATGCAAACAAACCAATCTCAATTTCTTCAAAAACCATATCATCATCAAATTCCACTGTTGTTGATTGTGATACCTTAAATGAGGTACCTCAATTAAATAATATTAAAACTAATCAAAACAAATTTAATCACAATAGTAGACAGACAAATATTATAGTAGGTAAAAAAATGGATGAAAATGAGGTAATACCTCAAATATCTACATGGAGTGAATTCGGTCAGATTTTTTACATATTTTCTTTGATTTATTTCTAATTCTCTTGACTTATTTTTGTTTTTTGCTTAATTTCAGATGAAGAATTCACTTATGATTCTCAACAAGTAGAAAAGACTTTCACGCAGCAATTGAATGAGCTTCCAGAACTTGATAAGGCTGAAATTAATATGACGTTTGCATCACCTAAAATATATTCTTATACACCTGAAGTGCAAAGAATTTTAAGAGCTAATAGCGAATCAAGTGTTACTAGCTGCAACTCTGACAAAAGTGATGGAATAGGTCAATTTATTGGTGATTTTCAAAATGATGGAGCAACAGGTAATTTTGATGGTCTTGAATACGATTTTTCACGAGAAATGATGAATGTAAGTTTTAAGAAAAGTTATTTGACTAAAACTGCGTGGATCTCAGTACAACAATATCAAAGTGTATCAAAATTTTTAGGTATTTAGACAGAAGTTTGGTTTACACAGCTTCAGACCTAACCAGCTCCAAGCTATTAATGCTGCAATTTTGGGATTTGATTGTTTCATACTCATGCCTACTGGTGGAGGAAAATCATTATGTTATCAACTGCCAAGTTTAGTATCAAATGGAATAACTATTGTTGTTTCGCCTCTCAAAAGTCTTATTATAGATCAAGTGCAAAAATTGGATTCTTTAGATGTTTGTATCAATATTTATAATCTTATGCTTTAATTTTAAATGGAAATTTTCATTAAGTGAATAAATTCCAGATTTTAGCTTATCATATGTGTGGTAATATAACAGAAGAACAATCTCAAACAATTTATAGAGAGCTTGCTAAAGTTAAGCCTGCCCTAAAACTTCTCTACTTGACTCCTGAAAAACTCTCTGCCTCGCAAAAACTGAACACTGCTCTTACAGCTTTATATGAAAGAGATTTGATAGCTAGATTTGTCATCGATGAAGCACATTGTGTAAGTCAATGGGGACATGACTTTAGACCAGATTATAAAAGACTTAAAGTTTTAAGAGAAAGGTACCCAAGAGTTCCAACTATGGCTCTCACAGCTACTGCTACACCTAGAGTTAGAACTGATATTCTTCATCAATTAGGAATGACATCACCAAAGTGGTTAGTGTTGATAAATTATTTCTACTATTTTCTCTTTCAATGATATTTATGTTTATTCACAAATATTCCTAGGTTCATGTCAAGTTTTAATCGACCAAACTTACATTACGTCGTAGAAAGTAAAAAAGGTAAAAATTCAACTGAAGAAATTATTGATAGAATAAGAAATTGTTACAGAAATGATTGCGGGATTGTATATTGTCTTTCCCGTAAAGATTGTGATACATTTGCTGCTACAATGCAATCAAATGGTATAAAAGCTCTAAGTTATCATGCTGGTCTTACCGATCAACAAAGAATAGAAATACAATCCAGGTGGATTACAGAAGAAGTAAATAAAATTGTTTTTCATTCTTTAACATTAATTTTTTCAAAACAATTGAATTTATATATCTTTTAGATAAAAGTTGTTTGTGCTACCATAGCTTTTGGTATGGGAATAGACAAACCAAACGTTAGATTTGTATTCCATGCAACTTTACCAAAGTCTATTGAGGGCTACTATCAAGAAAGTGGTCGCGCTGGCCGTGACGGTGAAAATGCAGACTGTATAATGTTTTATCATTATGGTGATGTTATGAGACACAGAAAAATGATAGAAATGGATGCATCTCAAAATTTAGAAGCTCAGAAAACACATATGGATAATTTATACAAAATGGTAGCTTTTTGTGAAAATAGAACTGATTGTCGTCGTACTCTTCAGTTGAATTATTTTGGAGAAATATTTGACCGAAAAAAATGCATGAGTAAAAGACAAACAACTTGTGACAACTGTAAAAATCAGGTATGTTATCATATTGCAATTATAACGATTTAATCAACTTTTCCTAACAAGTTTAAAAATGTTCAGGATCAATTCAATCTTGTTGATGTAACGAAACATGCCAAGGAAATAATGACCCTTGTTAGAGATTTCAATAAAAGAAGGGCCAACTGTGTCACTTTATTGTATGTTACCGATGTTTATAAAGGAAGTAATCTGAAAAAAATTAGAGATGCCGGTTGGTAATCAATTTTGATCAAAAATCAATTATTTCGAAAGCTGCATAAATCTTATTAAATTTACGACGTTTTACAGGTCACGATCAACACGATTTTTACGGCAAAGGTAAAGCATGGGCGAAAAACGATATAGAAAGAATTTTGCGTAAATTAATTATTGATGGTTATTTAAAAGAAACTCTGTACATTAACAATGAAATAGCATGTTCTTATGTTGTTTTGGGACCTAATGCTCCAAAATTAATGACGTCCGATGAAATAAAAGTAACATAGTATATTTTAATTCCAAAAAAAGATGTAACTTTCTGCTTATAAAATAATTTTTTTTTTTCTAGATACATTTGGAGATAAGAAAAGAAGGCCAAATGCGGCCCGGTATAGCTTCATCGTCAAAAACTACCATTGACAACAAACAAGACTTGAACAAAGAAATAAATGATCTGAAACAAAGATGTTATATGGAATTGGCAGAAATTATCAATGGAATTGCCGGAGCATTGGATGTATCTGCTAACTCTATTATGAATATGGTTGCTATTCGTGCAATGAGTCAACAACTACCAACTGATGAAGAGGAAATGTTGAAAATTCCTCATGTAACAAAAGCCAATTTTGATAAATATGGAAAAGCTTTACTTGATGTGACACAGAAGTATGCAGCTGAAAAAACTGGTTTGTATTATTTAAAATGTGTTAGAATTAAAATAATTTTGATAAATGATACTAAAGTATAAATTATTTTAGTTCTTTTACTTGATGATCAAGAAGCTGATGAAAGTTCACCTGGTACATCAGGTGGTTATCAGGATAATGATTGGATCGAATCTGATTCAAATACAAACAATGGCCGAAAAAGAAAAGCCAACTTTTCAAAAGGAAGTATTCATAAAAAATACAAACGAGGTGGAAGCACAAAATCCAATGCATCCAGGTAGATATTAATTAATTTTTGTAAAATTTTTACTTCTGTATTGTACCCGTAAATAATTAAAAAATGTTGTATCTAGTAGCACTTCTAAAAATACTGGAAATACATTCAAGGGTAAAGGTAAACCCTCAGCAGCAAAAAATGGACCTGGTTTAATGGACTTTCCAACAAAAAAAGCGCCAAGTAATCCCGGTCGTTTTGTGGGTTTATTATAACGAACTAAATTCTAAAAAAATGTTTATTTTGAGTAATTGAAAACATCACTACTGTTATGAAACATTTACATTATACGTTACATTTATTATTATTAACTAATGCATAAGGGTTCGATTCTACAATTATCTATTTAATAAGAAAAAAATAACTATTTTTCCACAATGTAAATATTTAAAAAATGTTTTTACTAAATAGTTGAACTTTTTATACAAAACATGACCACAATTAATATGTTTATTAGAGGTATTTTTATGTACTTAGGTACATTTATTAAATATGTTTAATACAAGTCTGGTTGCCTAATTCGAGATTCCCGATTTTCATTTTTTAAATGCCGCTTGAGCAAATTCATGACTTCGTTTTGAAATTCCGTTGGTACTGGTTTTACATCCGAAGCCCAATAAAATATGTCCCAATCGTTAGAAGGGATGTTTATTAGGCGATCATATTGTCTTAATTGTTCTTCGTTGAAATCATTTAGATATTTTTTGGCAAATGTACTTAATAAAAGACCGTTTTCCAGCATCCCGCGCTTGCGTGATTGGTACAACAATCTAATGACGTTTAAATAATCATTCGAATTAGTATTGATTAGCGGGAAAAGTCATGTTTACGTAAAATAATGAGCAAACCTTGCACGTTTAGTATCTATGCTTTCATTTTCCCTTTCAATATATTTAGGAATATCTGGTCCGCCACTTTCTGGATGATTCAAGTCCTCGTAATTTTCGTTTTTTTGCGCTGCGCAAGTTGTGCTTAATATTCTACTAAATAATAATGGTTTAACCTAGACAATTATTATTTCTTACTGTAATCTTTTTTTAACAATATAGATAGATACATGCCAATTAAAAATTCCTAACTGCATTTACCAATAGTGCCTTAAATTCAAGTATCTTATTCATCTTCAATCTATTTTTTTTCTATTCAATAACTCTACTTATGACAGTTAACCGACGTTATTATATCACATCCATACACAAGTTAGCAGTTCTCGCACGATTGTCTTGGTATATCGCAGCGCGTGGCAGCACTAGTCAAGAATTCAAAAAAAAGTTACTCTTGTGTATGTGTATATAAATAAATGTAACTCAAGTTTATACCACTGAAACTCAACCGATTTAATTTCGTGATTGAATCTAGAAATGGAATAAAGAAACAAATTCCAAATTAATAACGTCGTTTTAAAAGTAACTTTATTCGTTTATGTACAAAAAAACTTTGATAAAGGTCAGACTTTTGAATCAACAAGATGTTCATGATTTACAAGAAAGTTACTAAACATATTAAAATATATTCAAAGTACACCAAATTTAACCTTGTATGTGCACAATAAAATTTGGTGAGAATTAAAAATTGAAGTTATTTTACAAAGGACAAGAATTAGATGTGTATGGGTGCAGTCCAAAGTAGAATGGATCATTTTTTTCCAGATTTTTTGATTCCACCTGTCACAAGTGGTCCTTTCTGTCCTGCTTTTTTTGCAGCTTCAGCCAGAGCTTTCTGTTGCTCCTTTTGCTTCTGCTTGAAGGCCTTATCATCGTCGTCCAATTCTTTGTTATCTTTTTTGGGTGCCTTCAAGGGCTTCTTTTTACCTCCTTCTCTTCCAGACATTCTGCATACACAAATAAATGGCAAAGTTAATGAAAATGAAAAATTTAATAGCAATAATAGACTGCCTATTTTCGATGTTCCATGAAGCGAACATTTAAAATAGATATTAATTTATACGAAGAATGTTATGAACGAAGAATAAAAAAACAAGTAACATAAAGTATAATAATTTTATAAACAAAATGTCTTTCAAAAGAAAAGTCAATGACGTGAAAACGTATGATATGAGATAACCTCAAAGCGAATAAAAGTCTAATAAATATTGGTAAGTATTGGTTTTGTTGCAAAACAAACCGTTACGTAGGAAAGGGGACCGAAAAACTGAAAAACGATTCTACTGTATTGAATTGAAGAAATTGAAATTTTATTCACCTGATGATTTGAAAGTAAAAAAATTGGTGCGAATTCAAGAACACAGCCACCGGCCAAGACTCGAGAAACTTTAACTTTAACTGTTCTGCACAATTTGCCAGTTGTATATAAGAAGTGAGCGCCACATGCGGCGAGTGTTGAATTATGAATAATTATTAGTATAGCATCTGCTGACACTCTTATCAATAGTTGGTAACTGGTGCGTGTGCCATTACAATTGTCGCTTCGTACGACAGAATAATGATAATATGGCGATCATCTGCGCTCGCGAGGATGAAAACATTGTGCACACTAGCGACCTCTGGGCGTGGTAAACAAAGAACTAACAGAGCAGCAGTTCGAGCTACAGCTGACGATCCGAACTGTCAGATGATCGACATTCTGGCCAACTGCAGAAATGTCCACATCTTTCTTTAATGCTCAATTGCTCAGTCGAAGTTGTTTTTGGTGCCTGTTACGACGTAGCCGAGCTCTTTAAATGCCGAGAGAGCAGATCGAGCCGCAACAGCTCGTAAATTCTTACAACGACTCGCTGCCCCAAAAAATGCAAATTTTGTACTTGCTTCGTCCGCTTGTTTAAGAGCACGATACCCGATGGCTTCTTTGTTTTTCAAAACAGGTGTGCACTTGTTAGGCGTGCTTGATTCAAATATCCTTCGGCGTTGCGTCCGCTCTCAAATGGCTCCAAATGTTGTCTTGAGCTTGTTGCAAGCGATGATTGACTCGAGCAAACCGTAAACGTGTATTCAAAAATAATCATATAGGGATTTGATGAATAATAATTTTCCTTTTTTCGATTATCTTGAATGCGAACAAAAGCTGTCATTTGTTTTGCTTTCTCAGTGTGTAAATCGGCTCGCATGAAAAAACTCCACAGCTAAATGTGGTGAAGGCTCGAAACGATATCGGTCATCGGATTTTTAATGCGGTTGAGATTTTTTACTCGTCTTTGGCATGTGTGGCGCAATAGTTGCAGAGCTCGGCTGGCCGAGCCGTTTGAGTCACTGTATATAGAGCCAAGTCGAGGCAGTAAAAGGCTAGTCGACGCATCGCGGCCAAGAGAAAGCACAAAAAAAGAGGTTGGACTGGAACTGCTACGGGAGAGAGACGGAGAGCGATAGAGAGAGAAAAAGTAAGGGACAAAGGGTCGCTGACATCATATACGCCTTTGCTCCGGTACAGCATCTCTTGTTTTTTTCTTACTTTATTCTTTAAAAGGCCCTACATTCCATTGAAAAAGTCCCCGCACCCGCGATACCCACATTGCCACTGCTTTTCCAAGCTTTTTAAAATCAATTTTTCCCAAGACTGTAGCATTTTCGTACTAAAAACAAACTTGAAAGCGCACAAAGGCCTTCGCGTTTGAGTATTTTTTAGCTCCATCTGTTCTTTCCTTTCAAGCTAAAAAACTTATGTGCTCACCTCCATTGACAAAACGATTATGCGCATGTTTCAGCTGATCGTATAAAGGTCCAAAATCAGTGGAAAATCATAACTATATTACGCACTAATCAATTCAATTATTTATGATTTTCTAATTGATACTTGACTAACTAACGATATCATATGTAAATCGTTTTTGATTCTCAAAAGATCTAATCTATACGTCTTGAAGATTTTTTGATCGTTTTAAAAGATAAATTAGTTATGTATTTCAAGATTGATTGTTAATTTATTTAATCGTTATTTAGCATAAGAATGCTATATTTGCTATATTAACAAAATTAATCGAATCGTTACACCAGATGTCCTATGGCATTTGTTTTCTGTCCTTGAAATTTCTGCATACATTATTTATTCTTCCAAATGTGAAAAGCTGTATTACGGATAATAACTGTGAAACTGATTATCAAGAATAATGTACGTATTCTGTTGGACCTACAGTTTTTAAGTTGTGACGAATACAATTTAATGTATTATATTGTTGAATGCTCCCACTAAGAATCAATAACTATAAATGCAAAGAAAATTCATATTTATTGTTTCAAAGCACTAATCGAATGATGTTTGAATAAACAATATTTGAACGAGCTGTTTGAGCATCAATATTAATAAGTTTCAATTTGAGGATTAAAAGAAAGAAACGAAGTGTATATGCTCGAAAGATAAAAATGTGCAAAAAGATGTATCGAAGAAGCAGGAATATCCACGAGTGCAGTGGCCGTTAGACGGGTAAAAGCTGTTGTGCCAGTCGAACGTCGATGGATATGGTGTCGAAAGTAAAGCGTGCGCGAGTGGATGGCATGCGATGGCAGTGCGAGGCAAGCCGACGAAGCCGTGGCAGTGTTGGCAGCTCCGAAGCTCGCGTTCACGTCTGGTTGCTGGCGCAGCTCGGCCAGTCGGGCATCTCCGCGAAGATCTGCAAGTGCACTCGCGGTGGACTGCGTTCGCGGGCCTGTCCCGGTCAGAAAACCCGTGCCGATGTTCGCAGTGACGATCAGCCAACCGGAGCGCGGCCAGTCAGTCGCGCATTGCAGAACGAGCCGAGAAAAGACCAACGAGGAGGGGGGTCGTGGTGCGTCGTCGAAAGCCTCGCGAGTCGCGACGAGAGACGAGAGAGCCTCGAGTCGAGTGCGTCTAGCCGTCAGTTGGCAAGAGACGTTCGAGCGCGAGGTGCTGTGCCTTTTCGTACAGTGCTAAAGTCAGCAGTTTCAATGAAGCAATCTGCGCTGCTCTGCACCCGTTATCTGGCTCTAAAGCAGCCAGCGATCGGTCCTAGTTTTCCAGCTTCGTGCGAGCAGTCGCTCGTCCGGACTCGTGTCTGCACCAATTGTCGCCGTCGTCGTCGAGGCTCCTCGTTCTCGAATGAGCATAAGCATAAGCAGCAGCAGCAGCAACAACAGCTGCGTCGCGACTCATGTCTCTAGAGGTTGCAATTGTGTTGTGTATGCGCGAGCTCGGTGTTGTAAGCCCAGTGTCGTCTGTCATTTGTGCAGTGAATGTGTGTTGCGCGTGTGTAACGTAGCTTGCTCCTTTTTTCAAGCACAACAACAACAACAAGAACACAGTAGGAGAACCAAGTGAGAACGAGTCGTGTGCAGTGCGAGCTTGTGACGTGCCAGTGGCTATTGTGCAGCTCCAAGTTCTTATTTGCCCATATGCATCATCGGCAGCGACTCGCTCGCGAGCCTACACCTATCCGAGCAACGCTTGCAGCTAATCGAGAATCGAAGCTTGCGAATTTTCTTCAACTGCGTTGCGTTTCGGATTTCCACAAGCGAATATTGTTCCGAGCACGAAGAATAGCCATAGAATTAACGGGGCTGGAGGCTCGCGTTTGCCAGTGACAGCGCTGCAAGAGCGAACGAGATAGAGAGAGACAGAGAGAGAAAGAGAAAGCAATACAGGAGCTCGATTTAAAGAGCCATGGAGCCGGACTCGATCGTGAACATTTGACCCGCGAGTCTCGTTGCCTGAACTTTTGACCAACAGCAGATGTGCGTCTGCAGTTGTGTACGGCCTGCGTCGCTTCGTCTTTAATCACAAGTTGATCTCTCGCTCTCTCTAGCTCTCCATCGGAGAATCATCGGCAACAGCGCCGACCTCTCCGAGGTACGCGAGACAGTCGCGTCCTTGTCTATCACCTCTGACGAAGAGTCGAAATCGGTGAGTAGTGCACTCTTATTGTTCCATGTCTATTGCTGCTTTACCAGACTCGGCCAACGCCGCCGATAACAGTCTCTCCGAATAACCGTTGTTGCTCCGAATAAGTTTAAAGAATCACTCCTTAGTTTTTATTCTCGCTTGTTTATTTCGATTCATCGATCTCTGGTCTTATCTTCATAGCTGTAAATTGCAAAACTCACGAGACTCTACTCAATATTTACATTTGCGTCGTCGATTTAAAAGCTGTGCGCGCAGTGCCAGTTCGGTGTAGGAGAATCAAAACAAAGAGAGCCGTCCGTCCGACTGTATAAGTCTATGCTCTGTATAAGCTGTATAGTTTGCGCGTGCATGTATGTGTGTGCGCGCGCGCATGTATCGGTCTATGTGTGTGCACGTATAGGCGCACACGCGCACGGCAGAGTCGCAAGCCCCCTCGATGCCTCGAGAGTCCAGCAGGAGAACCCAAACAAAAAAACCTAGCGGCTCCGACCTGCCTGACTGCCCTCCCCTTGCTCAAAGACGCATCCAGTCCTTCTCGCGATTTACTCTACAAGCTCCAAATTTCTTCCAATGTATAACTACACGCCGGATTTACTCGACTCATTGCCTCGTCTCGGGCTCGAATTGCCAACCTCCTGCACGACCTTTATTTCGAAAGCAAAGAAAACTATATTATAGTCGAACCAAGGATCCTTTAATATGACGAAATCCTTTGATCGATGTCGTGTACATCGGAACACTCATCAACCTCAAAATATGACTGCTTTATTTTATGGCGTCGCTCGTGAAAAAAATCCTGCGACTAGAAAATTAATGCTTCGAGCGAATCATTATCCAAGTAGGTATTCCACTCGCTGCTTCTATTACTGTTTATTAATCCCCTCTACTCGTTTCTTGCTTATTTTGCTCGACCCTCGACTCTACGTGCGCCTATGTTACTCTGTCTCTTTGTCTCCGCTTAGTTTCTTTTTCACTTTAAATGCCGAGCTCGACTAACAGCTGGTATGAAATTACAGATAAAATATAATCAAGAAAAATGTACGAATGATTATTGAAAAATGTTTCAATTGTTACCTCATTGAGTCTTTAAATTATTTTTCCTTTCAAAACAACGAAAAAGTATGAAATGAGAAACCGAAGATGAAGTTGCAACACTTGTCAGTCCATTTGCATAATACCTATTGTCTTTTCTGAATCACGGTGAATTTATTGATTTTATTTGAATATAGGGCTTTGCCATAAGGTAATTTATTAAATTAAAAAATTCCGATGACCTCGAATCGATTTGTTTGACGTAAACCTTTCTTTTTTTTCATAAAAAGTTGCGCAATAATTAGCAGGAAATTTTTGTAGAATCATTTCTTAAAAACAAAATAAATAAGATATGCATCTTTCGTTGAAAAAGTACAAAGAATGGTATTTTTGCATAATAAGCGATGAAGTATCTTCCGAACTTGCCGTAGAGGTTTCCTCGCGTCGGTAACAAGTATGGCCTGCTCGGCCG